AATTTTTACCCACTTATAATACACATACGTATACAGTTTTGTCTTTTACAGGTGCCTACCACTACTAATGAATGGACAAAAGTAATGAAGGAATATTATACCCTTTGGAACTTCCCTAATTGCTGTGGCGCTATGGACGGGAAACATATTGCTATTCGCTGTCCTGCGAAGTCGGGATCGTATTTTTTCAATTATAAACAAACGTTCAGCACTATTCTTTTTGCAATTGTGGATGCTAATTATAACTTCCTATATATTGACGTCGGTACAAATGGCAGAGCAAATGACGCATTAGTGTTTTCCAAATGTACATTTAACGAAGCTCTGGAGAACAATTTGTTAAATATACCTGAAAATGGTGTTTTTCTTGGGGACGACGCTTTTCCTCTTAGAACCTATCTTTTGAAACCTTATAGCAAGAAATCATTAACTAGGAAGGAAAGGGTATTTAATTATCGGCTATCTCGAGCTCGTCGCCTATCAGAAAATGCATTTGGCATACTTGTGTCTCGTTTTCGAGTATTCGAAAAGCCTATTCCTCTCAAAGTAGAAACAACTGAATTACTGGTGAAAGCTACTTGTGTTCTTCATAATTGGCTCAGACAAACCTCTACTTGCAAAGCACCATACGTAACTGAGGGATTGATTGATGTTGAATTATGGGAGGAAGGCAGAATTGTACCTGGAATATGGCGACAAACTACACACGACGGCCTCAGAGACATAACACTTGCTACAAGTAACAACCACAAGAAAGTTGCTGCCGCTGTACGTGATGATTATGCAGATCTGTTCTGTTCAACTGAAATTGTACCGTGGCAGTGGAAAATGATTTAAATGGCTTATTCTTGTATAATTGTTCATTTACTTAATAAAAATTGGTAACTAATTTTTCTGTGGTTTTGTTGTTTATACGTGTAAGGTAAGCAACCAAGATGAAGTGGGACATTTTACGTCTAAAACGATCAACTATATTTCAGCTATTTTAAATCGATATGGTTTTTATTTTCAACTTACTACAATACCCTACGACCCACCTAATACATATATGTACTTATAATTGCTAGTAGTATGAAAATAAAAAAATGCTATACTTACTGTACTTGCTGAGCTGCTCCTCGGTACACAAACTGCACGTAAGAATGAATCGGCTTGTTTGTACCAAAAAAGTTTGGGGACATAAACGTCATCTGGCCCTGTACCACTTTTTACGGATTGATTTACTTTAGCCAGTTCAGATGAATATCGGGTACGAATTGTTTTTATTTTTAACTTAATATCTTCCACCATCACTCCCTGAAGATTCAGCTCCTCAACGATTTCTTTTAACGCTTTTTCTCTATGGGTTTTATTTTTATATGTCTCTGCTTTAGTGTTCCAAAGACACTGTCGGTCTTTCATTAAACTCAAAATTAGAGGAGTATGGTCGTCTTTCCACTTAAAAACCATGATAGCAAGCGTACAAACACAACAACTACGCACTTCAAACGCGACAATACACAACCACGTGGACCTGTTGCCGCCGTTCACTAGTCACTACCGATGAATTACAGCAACAAATGCATGTTTACATGGTTCACTTTGGATGATTCATCCGCGATGCATCCCCTAAAGTGAACAAAAGTAGAACTCGGTTCAACTTCGTTCAATATTCATTTTGGATGATCACTGTCGATGAATAATAGTTTATACGATTCATTTATTTTTCACTTTGGATGATTCACCCGGGATGATCATCCAAAGTGTACCGTGAAAACGGGCCTTAAGCTTTGATGGGTAAATAATGTGGAACGCCAGGATATTGTTGGACGCAAATTTATTTTTATTTTAAAGATGCTGAACAGGCTTTTGCCACAAAATGGTTTTTAAAATTCTAATATATATTTTAAACAAACATAAACTTTTTAATAAACCAAATGTTTTTGTCAAAAGCGCTCGATCTGGGACAATTAAGATACATTAAAATCATGATCGAAATTTCTTATTTGACTTTAGACGAGGAACTCGTATAAATACTAGTTTCTCCGTAATTAAAGCAAGAAAGACAGAACCAGTTAGACTAGTATCCACTACTTCTAGTGGACAATGAGTGGATTTACAAGTTAAACTTGTACTTTATAATCAAGGTCTATATTAATTACTATTACAACATCCATTAATCACTCTTGTGATAAAATCAATCATAAGTGATAATAAAGTTACCTCCTGAATCTCCTAATTAGAGATATTGTTCAGGGCTGAAAGCAACGCAACTGTTATGTTTAAAAATAGTAATTAGCAAATTGTGCCTTCAAAACATGTAGTTATTTTATACTATTACTTCATTTATAAAGTAATATTATAAAATAACTTTTCTATCTTTTATAGTTTATTTTTATGAACGAGAGAGTAATTAGCATAATTTTAACTATACCTCCGACCACTCCATGGGCGTGCTCAAGATTAATTGAAAAATTACTTTGAATAATTGTAAAAAATAAATGAATTATTTCAGTGTTATAAAGTGTTATGTGTATGTAAACAAAAGTGACCTCTTTTATCACACACTATATTAGAACTGACTGGCCTACATTAAAAATGGTTTTAAAAAATTCATTTTTTTAATTTTTAAAAATTACAAAAGAGAAAAAGAGTTTTTAAAACCGTCTAAGGTATGTTATATAGATGAATAAAAATATTAATATAAAACTTACAGCTACTTGTTACAAATCCAAATCAGATTCAGAAGATGAACTTTTAGAACCAAGATTTATAATCTGGCTCGATCATTTTATCAGTAATATTGTCCAGCTTCCACATTTTTTGCTCTTCTTTAATAGTGTGATTTACTGCCTTTTCCCAGTTTTCAGGTTTTACATTATTTACAGCCTCCAAAAACAACTGTTTAACACCATGAATTTTAAAAGTGGTATTTTTTCTTGAAAATTCACTCTTTATCTGTGCCCATACCAGTTCAATCGGGTTTAATTCACAATGATATGGTGGGGATCTAAGTACTGTCATTCCACGATTTTTGGCAATTTCATCAATTTCGTATTTTTTAAATTTTTCTTTATGGAGGGCACACAACGAATAAAGTTCCTTTCTTATAGATCCGGGATGGTACGTAATATTTTTTGAACTCAGCCAATTCTGCAAGTCTTTTTTTAACCACTTGGTTGTGGGCAGTCCTTCTATAAGTCTGGAGTGATAACTTGCATTATCCATTACTATTACACAGTTCTTAGGAAGAAGATCTATCATTTGTTCGAACCATTCTTACGGTAGTCATTCTTACGGTAGTCACCGTCAACAAAACCGTCTGAACTGCCAATGTGTACTATTATCAGCCTGCGTCCCTTTCCTGATGGTGGGTTTAAACCAGTAGATAAGTTATTTACAAAAGCGTGCCTTTGACTTGTAACAGTTTCATCCTGTCAAAATTTATTTGGTGTATGACCCTCGTTGATCCATGTTTCATCAAGATAAAATATTTTTCTTTTTTGGTTTCTCATTTCCTTTATGGTTCTTAGAAAATGTCTTCTCCATATGACAATATCGCTTCTTTCTAATAAAATAGACTTTCTGGGTTTCTTTTTCCAGCGGAAGCCTATTTCTTTTAAAAGTTTCCATAACGTACTTCGACTCATTTCTGGGTAATCCTTATCATCTCGAACTGAGACAAGAACTTTATCCAATATTGGAAATTCTTGTCTAAAGAAGAATTCATGCACTTTCCGTCGAAGTCCTTCTTTAAAATGATATTCTATTTGAAATTTTGGTTTCCCTGGAGCATTACGTGGCATTTGAAAACTACCACATTTCTCTTCTTTAATAACTCTGTAAATCGTAGATTTCCCAACACCAAGTGTACTGCTAACTAACTCAACGGTCTTTCACATAAACGTTTGTCTGTAAATGATTTAAAACAATTAAATATTAATGTTTTTTCATTAACTGTTAAAGGAATAATTTTTCGGCGTTTACACGGCACTTCCAAATTTTCCATAACACTAGTATACACAATAAACTGCACCTTGCAACTGAAGTACCTACTTTTAGTGAATTTTGAATACGCCACTTGGACCTTCCTACAAAATGGAAAAACCCACTATCACATTTTCTGTGGAATAAGTTTAGAAGGTAATCTAGTCAATTACTGTCGTAGATTCCTGGAATTAAAGAATTAAATGTTTGATTGTTGAAACCCTTACTTCGTGGAATGCACTCATTTCAGATAAAATAAAACGTTTTATTTTATCTAAAGAATTAAACTTTATTTTGCAAATAGGTAGGTACTTATTAAATTTTTATTGGTTATATATAACCAATAAAATAAACATCTTACATTTCTTGCAAATTCATTAGTACCTGTTAACCTCCATCACTCCGACACTGGCAACCTTATTTAGGGATTAGTAACCCTCACAACTATTGTATTCTATTCTGCTCCAACCTTTATACCTGGTGGTCATACTCAATTTAAAATTGTTTTCCTATATACTTCTGTAAACTTGTTGACAAATATCTGTTTTTCATTGAGTCACCCGTATCAACAGTTTAGGGATTTGCATACATAATTTATTGTTTTATTACTCTCTCATACATAAAAATACACTATAGGAAAAATGAATGTAGGTACATTATAACACATAACAAGATAACTTATATTATAATATGCATTACAATTAAGAATATGTTGCAAATCGTAACACAATGGTTAACACACTTACATCTCTATTGATGGCTAAACAAGTAAATTCAACTCAGCTTAGATTTTCTTTTTATTTTCCGGGCTTACTACGTTACTTTTAATACAAATTGTTAATTTATGACTATGGAATTTTAATTTGTTCTATTGCTCTTTTTTGTTCTAGTTGGTCACACCTATTTGGAGGCACTTTAAATCCAGTGACGTAGTAACCTTTCTAATAAAAAATCACTAATAAAGTTTTTCCATTTACGAATGCCAAAAATATTGTAATGTTTCCTAAAAATTTAAATAATGTTGCATATTTTAGATTATAGCGAGGATACACCTCTCCATGATGCAATAGCTGACAGGTGCGTAGAAACTGTGTGCATGCTTCTATATTATGGCGCAGACGCAAATCGTGTTGGTGGAAATGGTCTGGTTCCTTTTATGAGAGCCATTATAGCAGAAAACTTTGAAATTCAAGATGCCTTGTTTGAATATGTTTCAGATTTTGATTCCAAAACTAAGGATGGATATAGTATTTTAACGTTGGGCTTGATTAATGAGACTCGCTATGTTGAAAAGATTATCGAGAAAGGAGCTAAAGTAGATGTCGCTGCATTTACAGGTAATTTATTCAACTGTATTCACTTACTATTCCTGAGGAATTATCTGTTAGGAATTTCGTAAATGTTGGTGGCTGTCTTTCGTTGCTTTTGAAGTATAGCTTTTTACCCAGGCCTTGCACGGAGATGTATGGGTGCAGATAATCAAACGAACATGGCGAACAACAAATATATATATATATATATATATATATATATATATATATATATATATATGTATATATATATAGTTTATATCTGTATATAAAGGGTTTCATTAACATTTGCATAATTTTTATGTCAAAATATGACGATTTACTGTCACTATTACTATTTTTGATAAAAAAGTCGTACTGTGACCTATAAGATCTGTTGTGTTTCCTTTATTGCATTCTCTGATGATTTATCAGTGATTGGAGCAGCTCGTCTCGTTATATTTTCCCCACAAGTTTAGTGTATCGGGAGCTTTATGTTATATGATATATTCTCAGATGATATGCTCTGGAGTTCTTAGGGCACAGAAGCCTTAATGTAAATGTTTGAGTATTTATTTTCCATATAATCCAGGCGGTAGCTGTTTAAAGTTGGGCGTGAAGCATGTAATCGTGATTTTTTGCATAAATTGCACCAAAATATAACTAAAAGTGATACTTTTACTATGCGTGAGTTGTAAAATGTATTTTTAACTTTTTATGAAACAGAATATAAAATAAATTCAAAAATACGATATTTTTCCTTTTTTTTTCGCATATATCTCAAGAACTATTAGTTTTAGAATAATTTTATGTAGGACATAAAAGTTTTTTAATTAAATTTTACGAAAGACAATGCTAGTTTCAAATTTTAAGAATTATTATTATTGCGAAAAAAAAAAAGGTTTTTTCAATCGTCAAATAATATTGGCCAATTTTTCAAGTAACTTCCTAAGTAGTAAGATAAAGTATTCCAACGAACATCCTGAGACAATACAAGAGCATAACCTCCAGCTTCTCGGAATTTTGTGATAGCAAAATGTAAATTTCTGAAATATTTGTAATTTTTGGCACTTCTGGCACTTTTATATCATGGGTAAATAAGTTCAATATATGGGCTGAACAACCATAACTTATTAAATCTTTACTGTCTAATTCCTCAAACAGATCTCTTTTCATTTTGGTCACATTTGCAGTCTTGTCTATGACTATACTAGTTACAAAAATTAATGGGAAAATCCCAGTAGTTGGCTGTATACCATCGTTTAAAAATACATGCAGAAGTTAAAACAGTTCACAATTGTATTTAGGTATAAAAAACATATAGTTAAAACTTTTAAAAGTGTCGTCAAAATTTATACAGTAGCATAACGTTTTCGATCTAATCAGATCATCTTCAGTGCCTTCTATGAAGTTGAAGCTAACACTAAATTTGTAGCTGTGACATCCATATATGGTTTTACATAATTCCAAATTTAAATTATATTGTGACTCTAGGTCGATGACATTTAATGAAATTTAATACTTGAGGAGCTACATGTCTCCTTGCTCGGTTTTAACACGTGGTACTTGTCAGTTAAAACGACAGTTGGTCTCTGTCGAAAAAAAAAAAAGTCGAAACAGCCGTAGTGATAAGATTATATGATAAATTTTTGTGGAAGTTGTAAAAACAAAGATTTCAGTGTTTTATTGTTACATAAAATGAATTTTCATCAAGTAATGGTCGAATCCATCAATTAAATATTAATAGGTTTTAAAAGCGATTTTATCTAAAAATGTAACTGCTGTAATTCTTTTCAGTAAAAAAGTTGATTTATTACATTCTGATTACATTTATGTCATAGAAAATGTCATAATATATAAAGAAATAAGATAATTTTCTTTCATTAAACAAAGTAAAAGATAAGTAAAGATAATAATTTAATTTAATTAAGAGTAAAAATATTAATTAGGGGGAAAATAACCTAGAATCAACTAATAAATTCACTAGATAATTTTCAAACATATAATCAACGACCTAATGATTCTTCAACGAATTGCTCGCTGTGTAAATTTACTAAGAACTTAAAAAGACCAATTATGCAAATCCCACCTATTAAAAAACAGAATGGTACTTGGGCCAGAAGTTCTTAACAAAAAGCGGATTGTTTTGCTTCTCACCTTGAAGAAATATGCCAGCCGCACTTACATGAAGATGATATACTTAAAGAAATTGTCAGCCGAGAGGAGGGCTATATACATCTAGTAACTCCTAGTAAAGTTTTAAAGGAAATTAATAATATGAAACTAACTAAACCCTTGGTAATCACCTGAAAAGAAGAGATATTAAAACAACTTCCAAGAAAACCATTGATCTCAATTATTGCAGCAATTAGGTTAAAATATATTCTGTTAACATAGAAAGTTACAGAAATAGTTATGATGCCAGGCAAACCCCCCGCATGAATCTTTCTCCTACGTGTATTACTGCCTAGTATTTCAACTTTTTTCAGAAACTATTGCTTGCTTGAAATGCAGCAAATTGTAGAACACAAAAACTTGATTCTAAACTACTAGTTTGGGTTTAGACACTCTACAAACACTCTACAAATGAAAGTCATAGACATCATTGAAGATGCTTTGGAGAGAAAAAAGTATGCTCAGCAGTATTTCTGTATATACCACTGTGTAAGTGCTTTTTATTTTGGTTCTTATTGTTTTTAATATATTTGCCCAAGTTGTTATTTGTTCTGAAAGCTGGTTATTCCTTTCTTTTTTATGTGTATGGCTATTTTTGTTGATAGTTTGCCTGCCAAAAATTCCTGTTACAAAGAGAATAAAACAGCCATTTCAATTAAAAATAAATCAATAGAAAACAACATAGTGTTTACAAAAGCAAAGGTAACACTACTATTGCTATAAATAAAATAGAATATAATAACAAAACAATAGAATTTTTAAATAATCAAAATATTGAAACGTTACACAAAGATTCGACAAAAAAATATCAAAAACAAATTAATCTAGCTTACAAACCGAATGACCCAATAAGACCTGTACTTTCTTTTTATACAGCTCCGTCATATAAACTTAAAAAAAACTGTTAGAGATTATTTTAGAACACCTAAAATGTGCAAAATTTTTTATGGTAAATTTTCACCTAAATTTGCCATAAAAATACAATAGAACTATGTAGTTCATAAAATACAACATTTTCAATTATCTAACAACTAAGATTAATTTCATTTGACGTAAAAAATCTGTTTCCTAGTATTCCTCCTACAGAAACTTGTATTCTAGTAAAAAACCTTTTAAACCAAAATAGTACAAATTCAATCATTACATCGTGCAGGAATTATAATTGGCAATCCTCTAAGCCCATTGCTATCAGATATTTTTATGGATCATCTAGAGGCAAAGATTTCAAAACATCCCATATTCAAACAGTTTTTATATTGGTGGAGATACGTAGACGACGTACTGGTATGTTTCACAGGAACTCGACCGGGTTTCACTCGACCAATTTTTATCGTATATTAATTCACTTCATAGTCATATTGAATTGACAATAGAAACAGAACTAAATCAAATAAACACTCTACAAATGAAAGTCAGAAACATCATTGAAGATGCTTTGGAGAGAAAAAAGTATGCTCAGCAGTATTTCTGGATATACGGCAAGAGTTCAATAGGGTCTGGCACAAAAGAGTACGCCATAAACTTAATGCTATTCTCTCTAAACAATTTACTGCCATCATCAAATCTTACCTAACAGATAGGTACTTCGGGATCAAACAGGATGTCGCCGTCTACAATCTTAAAGAAATAAAAGTCGGAGTGCCTAAGGGTAGTGTTCTGGGCCCGGTTCTATATCTTCTGTATACATGCGAACTTTCAAAATTTGAAGGTAATACAGTAGCCACCTTTGCCAATGACATGGCCTTCCTCTCAGTAGAGAGCTTTGTTGCAAAGCTGATGTTAAAAAGAAAAAATATAAACTACGTATTAGATATAGAACAAAAAAATATACTGGCTACTGGAAGGCAGGAAGGCTTGTCAGTAAATAATAAGCTTCTTCTCTATCCGCAGCCCTTAAAACCTGTACGATCGTGGGGTTGTAACAAAGAAACGAATATCAAAATTATTTAAACGTTCCAGAAAAAAGTTTTAAGGGCATCGTTGACGTTTCCTGGTACATTGAGAACGAAGACCTCTATCGAAACGTTGGAGTGGAACACGTAGAGCAAGTACTTAAAAATTTTGCAAGAAGTCATGAGGAAAGGCTTCACCAACATGAGAATATCGAGGCAATCCAGCTACTGGATAACTCAAACCAAACCAGACGACTCAACAGGACCAAATCTCACGAGCTTGTGTAGTGAGATTTAAAAAGCAGAACTTAGTGTTAACAGTACGCAAGAAAAAATGGCTTATATCCCAAGTAGTTAGCAGAGGTTAACGCTTAGTATTAATTTAATTTAGTATAGTATGATATGCCAAAACTTACTTATTTGTCACCGACTAGATTGTAAGATCATTTCTACAAAAAAAACTTCGACGAACTAAAAATTTCGCGATTACACAATGATATACAGTGGAGTAGATCAAAACGAAAGAGCTTATTGCAGTATATATTAATAGACAAGAAGTGGACACGTAAAATAGTAAACTACTCATACATAAATGAACGGATAGTGTCAACAAGATTAAAATGTGATAACGGTCATATCATAATTATTAGCATTTATGCTCCAGAGAAAGATAAACAGGAAGTTAAAATAGATTTATAGAAATCGTTTAAAAAAACACTTCTTCTCATGGCGCCGTCTCCTTTCGAAGGTTGGCGATCCAAATGGCAATTGTATTTTTGGAAACTGCTGCGCGAAAAATTTCTGCGGATGAGCGGTCGAACGATCTCCTCAGGTCTTTCAGCCATGAGTTCTGGCGTCTTCCTACTGATCTTTTGCCCTGTACTTTTCCTTCCAGTATAACTTGAAGTAATTCATATTTTTCGCCTCTCAACACACATGACCCAAGTATTGCATTTTCCTCTCTTTGATTCTTCTTCTTCT